CCCTGACGGAGACCTGGCCAGGGCAACCTCACTTACTTTTCAAAACAAGAACTCATATAAATCTTTTCTAATTTTGCAAGTGGAGCAAAGTATAAAGCTTCTTGTGAAAATGATCCTGTTTGTAACATTGTACTTTCCCAGACTTAATGGCGCAGTTAACTGATTTAATGAACAATAATTTATTCAGAAGAGGGCTCACTCATTCAATCCACAAATATCTACTAAATTTTATAGGCTCTGTGCTGGTGCTTGGAAGATAGAGACACAAATATGATCCCTGCTCTCCAGAAACTTAATGGTCTAGTAGGTGAGACAGATCCAGAGTGCACTGTGGAAAAGTGCTTGTACAAACACATACTCTAAGGGATCCCAGAGACAGGGGTGGTAAAGCACCTGGGTTCTAGGGAGCTCTTTGCTGCAGAGCTGATGCTTAAACTTGGCATGGAAGAATCAGTAGGATTCTGTCAAGAATGGAAATAGCAAAACTACAGGCATGTGAGTGGGGGAATCTTCCCTAAACTTTGGGGCTGAGAATGGTGAGGGAAGGGGTGGGTGTGTGTGGAATTTATCCACAGCACCTCAGGGTGTTTTCAGGCATGACTGTGACAGAAACATACTTAGTTTCAAGAAGGCAGGCACGCTGGGCTGTGGGGAGGAGAGATTTGGGAGTAGATTGTAGACACGGAGATTGGGAGGAGGTAAGAGGTGCTGAGTCAGGGTAGTGACAGTGGGAGGTGAGGGCTGGATGAGGAAATTCAGAGGAGGTGTGTCCAAGACAATGACAGACTGTGGGCAGGAGGGAACAGGAGGGGATCCCTCGGGGCTCTGGCTTTGGCAAATAGGTGGGTGGTGGTACCCTTAGCTGAGATAGCCTGGGATCCTCTCATCATCTATCCTTTTAAAATCTGTTCCCAGCCTGGGCTGCATGATAGAATCATTAAACCTTCAAAAACTATCCACGTTTAGGCACTGTTGTGTACCAATCAGACTCAGCCCCAGGTGCAGGTGTTTGTAAGGCTCCCCATGCAGCTACTGTTGAGAACTATGACCTGGTGGCTGTCCTATGGAACCTGTTATGGTCCCCGAGGCAGAGATCATTCCTCTCTGCTCTGTGAGCTCTGTATTTACTGGCAGTTGAGCTCACCAAGAACAATGATAAGAGCTGGACATTTCTAGAGAAGCGGGTGGGTTGGTCTTGATCCTTCCAGGTCTTCAGGAATTATTTTAGAAGACGGTCACACCATCAGGTCCACACAGACCAATATTTCACAAGTATTTCAATCAATTATATGGTGATAATTCACTGCATCAATCCTTTGGAACCAAACGGCTTTTGGAGATCTAGTCTGTGGGCAAAGAGGTGGCCCAGGGAACAGGCAATGGGGCTGTGTTGGGTGGAGCCCACAGGGTAGGGGCAGGACATTTCTGGGCTCATAGGGCCCTGCCCCAAGACTGCTCCACACTGGCACGGGAGGGTGGTGCAGAAAGTGAGAGGGTGACACAGGATACTGCCTAGTTTCCCTCTTAAGATGTGGCATGGGAGGAGTAAGGTTAGGGCAGAGAGGAAATCTTTCTGAAGCTTCTGCGTGTCCACGCACCTTGTTAAAATGTAGATTCTGATTCAGCCGGTGAGACCTGGGATACTGTGTTTCTAACCAGTGCTCAGGCCATGCCAATGCTGCTGGCCTGGGGACACACTCAGAGTCAGCTCTTCAGTTCCTTCAGCAGTGAGCAGCTTTTCATTTCCCAGCCAAGCTTGGCTTGGGGCAGTAGCTCCCCACTTCCTTCAAACTAAGGTGTGAGTGACGAAGAGGAGCTTAGGTTTTGTTGGGGGAGGGAGAGAGAGAAAGGGAAAAGGAACGGGAGAAAGAGACAATTGAGGACAAAGGAAGACTGTTGCTTTTTAGGGTTGATTACCAACTATGTTGGTCTCCGACTTCCCAATTTTTCTCTTTTTCTCTTTCCCTTTTTTTTCTTTGCTCTGTGTCATCTGCACACTGGTTGCTCTCTCCCCCTTCACTTATCATCCTCCTACCATTCATACCCTTCAACCCTCAACAGTTCAGTTTCACATGTGTGATATTTTGGTTCAAGAGGGACTGAATATCAACTAGACCTAAGAGTCTGTGATTTCCCTTCTTGGGAGTTAGGGGAGAGAATAATTACCAAAGCCCACGAGTGCCCTCTAGTGGTAATTACTGAGATAACACAGATTTCCTCTCGTTTTTTTTCCGTCAATTTGACAGATACATGTATCAGACCTGTGCTAAGGACACATAGGATACCGGTTCTTATGGAGCTCAAAGTCTGAAGGCGGACTATGTTATCAAACACTGTAGACCATTAGAGTTTCCAAAATCCAGGAAAAATATGCCAGGAAACTTGAAAGGAAAAATGCTGTCTTTTAAAGCTCTTTTATATTTGCACTTTGCTGCCCAGAGATTGAGTTCTGAAATGAGAGGTTTGGAGGTTACTGATAACATTACTGGTTTTCCAGTCATGACAGAAATCATTTTAGCTCTGGTGGTGAGAAACTCAACTGCACTAGGTGTAGTGACGTTGCAACACCTGTTAGTCTGTGCACGCCGTGTTTATCTGTTCTCCAGCTGGTTAATGTAGTGGAGGCTTCTAGGTCTGTAGAGCCCACAGATCTTGTCCAGGGGACTGTGGCTCCTGGGTCCCTCTGCCAAACAGGTCCCCTACAGTTCGACAGTGAAAACCTTCCACAAACTAGTGTGTGTGTGGACTCGGTCTCCTGAGCACTGGGGGGCAGCCCTCGATCCCATGTGGTGGCCTGAAACTCTGTCTTTTCAATCTGAAAGGCTTGGAGGTGCCACTTTCATAAAATGCAGGCAACTGTCCGCAGCAACCTTGGGGACCCTAAATTCATGTGAACATTAAAGTTCAGTGTTGCAGGGATAATGCTAGGCCACGTGAACATTGTGTTTTTGAACAGGAATGGACTTTGTAAAATACCTCATTCACCTTATCCTCAATTTAAATGTGACAGAAAAACAGAAGACACAAAAATGTAGCTACTCTCTCTCTCTCTCTTTTTCTGAGACAAAGTCTCAAGCTATCACCCTGGATAGAGTGCTGTGGTGTCATAGCTCATAGCAACCTTCAACTCAGGCTCAAGCAATCCTCTTGCCTCAGTTTTTCTATTTTTTTAGTAGAGATGGGGGGTCTCACTTTTGCTCAGGCTGGTTTTGAGCTCATGAGCTCAAGTTATCCACCCGCCTCAGCCTCCCAGAGTGCTAGGATTACAGGTGTGAGCCACTGTGCCTGGCCTGTAGCGGTTCTTAAGACCAGAATTTTGCATGTTAGAAGCATCAGTACTCCGTTTTCTCTTACTAAAAGAATTGTTGAAAAACAATGAAAAAAAATGTGCTTACTTTTATTTTCCCTCGAGGGCAGGTTATTGTGTACTTTGTGTTTCCCCCAGACTGAAGCCTCCTGGTGTTTCTGTTCTGGTTTTCTGCACCATTTAGCTCTGTCAATCAATTCGTAAATTTGGCTTACCTGCTTTTCATGTGGATAAAAAAGCTGACAAAGCAACTCTACAAAATAAATCGCTTTTTTCTCTTTGTGAAAAAACAACTGTCTCTCTTATTGTTTACCAGTTTTTAAGAAAAGCAGGTAGAAAGGTTTTGTTTCCAACGTTTTAGAGTTCTAGATCCTCAACTTGGGTTTAATTTTTTCCTTCAGTTTTCATTGCAAACCTTCTGTGGATAGTTTTTTCCCCATAAAATATGAATATCGTATCATCTCCCGTGTCACTTTCAACTTTAAACGTACAGAATTCAGCCCCCTTTATTAGCAAAAGTTACAGTAATTAACTAGTAGTGTTGGATTTATAACTGAATGGCACTTTGCAAAGTAATAGTGTATGTTCAGCCCGTCTGTATTGCTATAGCCCCAGGGGTCTATGTGGCTAATGCTCACAACTTTAAAAGATTCAGGTTATTGTCGTTTCTCTTATTTTAAAATGGAGAAACTGAGACTTAGATAAGCTACTTGTCTAGGGTAACACAGCTATAGGTAGCAGAACTGGGATTGGACTCTGGGCGATCTGGGTCTAGTGTTTGTGTTTTTAATCACTTTGCCATAATGGTGCCTGAATCAAGTGTAAATGAACTTACTATATCCTCACCGCAGCTAGAAGACGAGAAAAGTAATGGAGAGTACAATCTCTCCTGAGCATGTGCGTCTGTGAATGAAGTTATCACTTGCCTGCAGTGCTCTGGAGTTAGAGCACCTCAGAGGCCACTGTTGTCCTATACTAGCTGTTAGTATGGAGACAGATAATGAACATCAGTTGGTTAATTGATCGATGACTTTTCAGGGCCTTTTATAGCCTTAGAATTCTATTAGTCTCTCTATAAGAAACCGATGGTAAGGAATGAAAGGCAATTTATCTTTTAAGAATTAAGTGAAATCCTTTAAACTCTTGTTTTTGTGCCTAGAGCTATGTTCTGATAACAATGTGCTTTCTCCAGCTATGTTGGGTGGCACGGTGATTTAATATGGCTTTTGAAATTCCTGTTCTCTCATACATTTATTTAAGTAAAGACAGCTGCATCGGATAAGTAGATGCTATGAACAGTGCAACAGAATCATAGACCATTTGTAAAGTTGCTACAGTGATTACAAGAAAATATTTTTTATTCCATTATAACAAACACACACAAAATCATATGACTACCACCTAAAATCTTTGAGTATGTCTAACATCTCTGGGTCTGGCACAAAGCCCAGCCTGGCGTAGTGTTGATGCTCAATAAATGACGAACTGAGTGAACACAAATATTAGATTGAAATATTGAAGGCCAATATGCCCATTTCCATATTGTACATCTGTCCTAGTCAAAGTGTTTCAGAATGATGAATGAGAATTACAGTAGTGAAAAATAATCTGTTCTAACTGGGAAAAATTATTATGGAATGTTTCTGAAATGTAATAAAATTTCACCAACTTTTAAAAATCAGACTTGGTTTATTTTCACATTACTATAAATAGAATGGTAGAAAAATAAACAAATTAAGAATGATTATAAGCGTTTACTCAGTCCATTTAGGTGAAAGAGGTTTCTCCAACTCCTAAGTGCAATATAGCCAAATAAGTAATATGTAATAAAGTCAGACTTCTTTTAAAGCTAGTACTTAAAAATTACAGCTTCCCCCAGTTAGTACCAAAATGTAGGTTTCGATGGTGTGTTGTTTAAATGGAACTCTCACAGCCATTGTGTTAAGGAAATTGCTTATTAAGGAGAGAAACCAGTGCCTTTTATGTTTAAGAGAAATGTCCAATGGCCGTTGAAATCCCTTGACGATTTGATTTTTTTTTTTTCAAGGTCTCGATCATCCCCATTGTCTGTCATACAAACTAGAACTTGGATCAGATCAAGAAATTCCCTCTGATTGGTATCCATTTGCTACTATTCAGTTTTCAATGCTTGGCAGCTGTGCCTCACGGGCCTCAGTCAGGTCTCTGGGGGTGGAGAGTGACGTCCAGCCACAGAAGCATGTTCAGCAGCGGGCTTGCTACAACCTCCAGGTACGCCCCAAAGCCCCTGGGTGCAAGTTGGGACTTCTGGAATTCTGACCTGATTTGCTTTGAACTATTTGCTTTGCCGTCTTATACGACTGTGTGTGTGTGAGATATTTGACCTAGGGGGGAACTCAGCTATGGAAACTTGATGGTCACCCATGTGCTTTGTTCTTCTCTGTTATTCTCTGTGGGGGACACCTAATAATTCAGGTTTCTGTGGAAAATGGAAAATCAAAAGCAAATTCACATTTTAGAAGCATACTTAAATATTATCACGTTAGACTACCATGTCCCAAAATATGTCCCATGAAACATGCGTCCCATATAATACCCCAAGAAAAAACTAAGTTGGGGAATGCCGTACATTCAATTAATGTTAGATGAAGAGAAGTCCTGCAATAAAGATACTTGTTAAATTTACTTACCCCAGTTTTCCCCAACTCACTGGCTGTGGAATCCGTGTGGGTATGTGTATGGAGAATGCCCACCAGCATCTTGTGGAGTAGCATTAATCAGAGTACTCTTTTGGAAATGCGGAGTGAATCTTTGACAACAGTTTTAAATGTTCACCGTCAGCTCTTCTGCACTCTCAGGCCGGATGAATTAAAGAGCGGCATACGCTTAACATCTGGTACCACGCTTGTTCTTCTTGTCTTCAAGGTTAGGAGATACATGTATATGGATAACCTCTAATGCTTGTTTCTGGTGGTATCTCAAAATGGTGACATATGCTGCTGGTTTTGTTTAAAATTTTTTTTTTTTAAACTAGAAAGTATTTAAGAAATCACTGAAATGAAACAGCAAATAACAAACAGGTGGTTCCGTCTGGAATTTGTATATTTCCTTTTGACTTTCACATTGAATGACATCTTATACTTCCTAATAATATTTTAAACTCTGGCTTGACTCCCAGCTGTAATCAATGCTGTTCTGATTTTCTACTCATTTATTTCTATCTAAAATAGTGGTATTGGCTGGGCATGGTGGCTCACGCCTGTAATCTGGGAGGTCAAGGTGGGTGGACTGCCTGAGCTCACAGGTTCAAGACCAGACTGAGCCAGAGTGAGACCTTGTCTCTAAAAATAGCCTGGTGTTGCAGCAAATGACTGTAGTTACAATTACTTGGGAGGCTGAGGCAAGAGGATCGCTTGAGCCCAAGAGTTGGAGGTTGCTGTGAGTTGTGATGCCACAGCACTCTACCCAGGGGGCACAGAGTGAGACTCTGTCTTGTAAAAAAAAAAAAAAACTAATGATGGGTACATCATGTCCCATGCAGCCCCTTTAACCTGAAGGACTTAATCCTCTAGCAGCTGGCAATTGTGCTGTTTGAAGACAGCTGCTTTGCTTGAGGTCATGCCCTCTTTCTGGATGAGCTGATGTCCAGTGACAGGAAGATGATGAAAGAGTATAAAGGTCCCTTTGCCTCAACTTGGGCTAACTTTGCAGGGCCAGCCTGGGTTCAGCTATTTCCAGGCAAGAGCACTGGCTAAAACCTTTGCTTTGCAGCCCAGCTTCTCCCTGTGCCCCTTCTGCTTCCTTCCCTGCCTCATCCTCATAGGTGTTGACCCCAACAGCATTGCCTCGAACTCTCTGCACATGAATCTCCACCTCAGAGTCAAATTCTTTTTTTTCTCCCTTGAGAGAGGGTCTTGCTCTATTGTCCAGGCTGAAGTGCAGTGACAACATCATAGCTCACTGTAACCTCAAACTCCTGTGCTCAAGCAATCCTCCTGCCTCAGCCTCCTGAATCACTGGGACTACAGGCATGGACCAATATGCCTGTAGTTTAAAATACTTTTTTAAAATACTTTTTTTGTAGAGATAGAGTTTCTCTATGTTGCTCAGGCTGGTCTAGAACTCTTGGCCTCAAGTAATCCTCTTACCTCAGCCTCCCAAAGTGCTGAGATTACAGGCATGAGCTACAGTGCCCAGCCAACAAATGCCAAGAAGAGAATAAAATAGGGCAACAGGATAGACAGTGACAGAGGGCTTCTTGAAGGACCTCTGTGAAGAGCTATGACAAAATGATGTAAAGGAAGAACAGATGGTTTGGCTTAGCTGGTCTACTAGTCCAGTTAGTTTTTTTTTTTTTTTTTTTTTTGAGAAAGAGCCTCAAGCTGTCCCCCTGGGTAGAGTGCCATGGCATTACAGCTCACAGCAACCTCCAACTCCTGGGCTCAAGCGAGTCTCCTGCCTCCGCCTCCCAAGTAGCTGGGACCACAGGCGCCCACCACAACACCCGGCTATTTTTTGGTTGCAGCCGTCATTGTTGTTTGGCGGGTCCGGGCTGGGGATTCGAACCCGCCACCTTAGGTGTATGTGGCTGGTGCCTTAGCCCATTGAGCTATAGGCACCAAGCCAGTCCAGTTAGTTTTACTATTAAAACTAGTTTGTTTGAGTTAGAGAGCTAATTTTGAGTTTGTTACAAATCTAAGGTAAGCCAATCGCTGGATGTGTAATACTGCATAGAAGATACTTGGGGGGATAACTGATCACATGTCTAGCCATATCTGGAAATGTCTTATCAATATGTATATTCTGTACAATCTTTTCAAGATTTGACATTGGAGGCAAGGAGAGGAGGATTTGGGAGGGGTCTGTTGCCCAAAAGGAGAGCAGAGAGCCTCACTTGGAGATACTGTTAGAGGGTGGTGGGATGTGTCTTCAAAGGGTGAGATGGCTGCAGCCCTCATACATGGTATAGGGCTGAAAGACCTGAGTTCTGCATTGCATTTGTTAATACTGCCCGTGTTTTGCTTTTGCATAACAGGTTGAAATAGAAAAGAAGTGGATTAAAATCGACGGGGAAGATCCAGATAAAGTTGGTGACTGTGTAACTCAGTAGGAGTAGCAAGGGTAAACAATGATGACCCACTTGCCAAATTTGTAATTCACAGAAGCCACACCAACCAAGTTCTGCTCCTGTATAGTGGAAATGACTTCTGAAGCGTGAGTGGGCTTAGGACAGGTCTCTGGCTGTGCTTAGACCTAAAACCAAACAATTTGTATTTTATGCTTTTGTATGTTCTTGCCCTAGAGGTTTTATCTAAAATGTGTCTATAATTTGTGTGATGTTTTGCTTTCTATTAAAACTGAAACTTAAAGGCACTGTTATTTGTCGTATGAACTTACAGCCCGGTTTGGCTAAAGGGCTTTTGATTTTTGTTTACTCAGTGGGTGACTCTTTTGCACCCTGGATCCCTAGATGGTATGTTCATTATTCCCATCTCTTCTTGCTGTGTTGGCACCTGTACTAGAGAGTAAAGGAGTCAAAGGAGACATTAACCAAAGTACTTATTTTCCCCTTTTGCTCACTTGTGAGCAAATGTGACTAGGTATAGACTGATGTGGCAATCGCAAGCTAATACAGACATCTAGTTTTGAATTATTTATCTTCCTGTTCTGCTATCACATTGGTAAGCAATCACTATCTGTATTTGGTACCTATCTTTCCCCCACTGTATTATCATTTTCAAAATATGTTGTATTCTGTTGTGTGCTACAAACAAGCTGATGTACATTTTTAGTATAAGTCACTCTGA